GGGCCCAGAACGAGGGTGGGGTCATTTCTGATGCCATGCAATCATCACCACCTCACTGTGGAACAAACCCCGTTCTGCTCCAGTCAGCCTGAAGTTTGCAGAAAATGAGGGCGCACTGGGCTGGGGCGCACGTGCCTGCGCTGGTATCTCAGAGTGGATGGCACAGGAGTCCTGCAGTCGGGCATCTTTGTCTTGTTAACACCCCGATTTAAACAGACCGGGGCTGGGCGTGTTGTCTCAAGGCTTGGGAGGTGCAGGCTGGAGGATTGCCCAACATTCAAGGATGGCATGGGCTACGTGGGCTACGTGAGCTAGCTTGGCAGACAGAGCAAAGGGGGGAAAAGATAAAACAACCCCAAACAAGGCGCTGCCCCTGCTGTTGCGCTTGGGGCAGCCTTTCGTCTCATTTGTCTTGTTCTGTTTTCATTGTCCATACCTTGTTCCAACAATCCTGGTGCTTAAATATCAAGGAATTACAGAGTTTTACTTTAACTCTAGCGCTTACTGTGCTGTTCACATGACATAAGTGTTTACAAACCACTTATTACAGCTAGAGTCGAAAGAAGCCTGGAAACTACCAGTTCTTTCTACCAAAGGTTTATACCACATAGATCTGACCACACAGCCTTGAGCTGGTTCCAGAGAGGGCTCAATCAATTACTTAGAGTCTACCCGTGTGTCATCTAAACAGGAATCTAAATTCTCAAAATTGGTATTCCCATAAGAAGAAAGGAAATGGACTAGGTGGTTGTAAGCCTTTAAAAATAACTAACATAAACTAGTTCTTTATTAAAAAAAATAGAATGCATTCTCTGAAACTTTAATATTTATATTTTGTCTCTCTGTGCACTCCTTATAGTGTTGAATATATGGTAGAAAACTGTATCCAGTTCATGATTTTTTTTTAAGTGTCTGCTAAACCAAATGCAGTCATTGTGTGTACGGTTGTTTTGTCTGTGTCTATATCTGTGCACTTCATGTGTGCCCAGGCCCAAGGAGGCTGGAAAAGAGCTTCAGAGCCTAGGAACTGTAGTTGTAGACTGCAGTGAACAGCCATGTGGATGCTGGGAATAGAACCCAAGCCCTCTAAGAGCAACTCTTAACCCTGAGCCATCTCTCCAGCCCCACAAGTGCAGCCCTCCAACAAGCCAGGCTGTGACTCACTGCAGCACACGGCCCTGGGGCAGGGCAGCCACTCCTCTGGGCCTTCTTTCAAAAGAGGGAGGGTATGAAGCTGGCTTACTTTTTAATAACAGCTGAAGTTTTTCCAAGGTGATTTTCTCCTCCCTCTCTCTCTCTTTCCTTCCTTCCTTCCTTCCTTCCTTTCTTCCTTCCTTCCTTCCTTCCTTCCTTCCTTCCTCCCTCCCTCCCTTCCCTCCTTCCCTTTATGTGAGTGTGGGTACAGAGGCCTAAGGACAAATGTGGAAGTCTGAAGACAACTTTTGGGAGTCCTGGGGATTGAACTCAGGTCAAGAACTTGGTGACAAGTATCTTCATGTTCTGAGCCACTTCACCATCCCTCAGTTTGATTCTTAATTCAGTACTTTAATCAAGTACCAATAAACTTTTCTAAAAACTACATCTATTTTGTAACCAAAAAAATGTAAGATTATCTTGTGTGTTATGTGCATGTGTGTTTGTCTACCCTGTGCAAGGCCTGGTCAAGCCCCACAACAAAGACCAAGGATGGATGGAATTCAGAGGGGATCCACTCCTGCTAACGCTTTGCGCTCCATTCCCTGCACTAAGGGGCAAAGGTAAAATAAAAATCAAGCCTTTTCCTCACCTTCAAAATTCAAATCACTTCAAAGTGGATCAGAACGAGAAAGGCCCCTCCAAGCAGAACCTAAATGCCGCCCAAAGAGAAAGCGTTTGAGGGGTAAATGTGTATCTTCCACTCCGCTATACTTTACCTTAAATTACCTGCGTGAGCCACTATCCCAAAACACAAATTCTTCCTGAACTCTTAAGACAATGAGTCCCATGTGTACAAAACATAATTCTTTTTCTTTCTTCACACTCACCTGCTGTCATACCTACTAACAAACCTGTAATTAGGGTTTCCTAATTACAGAGAAAAATGGCCTTTGTATGTCTGGGACTTTAGGTTTATCTTCATATTGGTCAATGGGGTTAATTTTAATATTGTGAGCAAGCTATATCATAAGCATAAATGTTTGCATCTTTCAATAATGTCAGAATTTACTGAATAACAATAAATCCATAAACTATGTCCATCTCATTACCTTCAAGGAACCAAGTAGTCTCGATATCATTTGGAACACAATGAGCAATCATTTTCTTTTATTTCATTTCAATCTTAGTTACTAATGTTACCCTCAGATTACACATTTCATACCACACAAGATTATATAGATTCTAGAACTACTAAGAAAAGGCTATGACCATAACAGGCTTCACAGGCGAAAAGCCAAGAGATGGCAGAGATCGGGTGCCACTACTGATGGCTAGGTATCAAGAACCCATCAAAGGCTATATAGAGCTGGTTTAAGGTACAGAGGGTCCAGACACCTGTTTAGTTCTAGTGGGCAGTCAGGCAGGGTGAGGTGCTGAGCTGAAGCCTCAGACACAGAATCAGAAGTCCATCCAGTGACAAACATTCCTAATGCCAGGACCATAAAGGCCAGTGCAAGGTCCTCCTGCTTCTGAGCTAAGGTTTTACCATGTAAGCCTTGCTGGCTTCAGACTCGCAATTCTCCGTCACACACCTAAGTGCAGGGATTAGAGGTGCCACCACACCCAGCAATGTCTCCTTTGCTGTGACTCAGGAGAGGAAGTTACATTATCCTTTGGTCTGCTGTGTTTGCTAAGCCCATGGGCCTGGCTTCTCTGATATGGTCTTGATACGCTCATGTGCTCTGATTTAATTTGTTAAGTTCACAGATGGTGCTTTTTTCATTTGTGTAGGTAAGTCCATGCCTTGTGGTCTGTGCTGCACAGTGGGGGTGTTGTGATAAGCTCTGTGTGTTCAGTGTCTGGTGGTTGTCTACCTGCCCAGGTAAGTTACCCTGCCTTAGCAAGTACTCTTAAAGATGGAACAAAGGGTTAGTGTACAAAATAGAAGCATCCCAGGCAAGGCATAACCTCAAAGCTACTTTTCTTTTTTTTCTTTTATTTGTTTGTTTTTCAAGACAGTGTTTTTCTATAGCCTTAGGGCCTGTCCTGGAACTCACTCTTGTAGACCAGGCTGGCCTCAGAGTCACAGAGATCCACCTGCCTCTGCCTCCCGAGTGCTGGGATTAAAAGCGTGTGCACCATCACCCCCGCCACAGCCAGGCTTCAAGGCTACTTTTCTACACAAAAGTGGGGGAAACCAAGAGCAAGGCCAGCTTCCTCTACAGTTAGGTCTTTTTGCCACGGTTAATTACGATGGATTTCTACTCAGCCAAACTATGTTCGTGGCACCCGTACCAAAAGTCTGCCTTCAAGGAGAGAAAGCTGCCACATAAAGGTAGGGAGGGGTTTAAGATTTACTTTATGTGCACGAGCCCTTCGCCTGCATGTACGTATTGCATCATATTACACGCCTGGTGTCTGTAGAGGTCAGAAGAGGGCATTGGTTCCACTGGGACTGGAGTTATGGACAGCTGTGAGCCACCAGGCGGGTGTCAGGAAATGAACCTGTCCTCTGCAAGAGTAACAGGTGTTTGGTTGGTTGGTTGGTTTTTCAGACAGGGTTTCTCTGTGTAGCAATGGCTATCCTGGAACTCCCTCTGTAGACCAGGCTAGCCTTGAACTCAAGAGCTCAGGCTGCCTCTACTTCCCAAGTGCTGGAGTAGAGACGCCAGCGTCACCAGGCATTACAAGTGATCTTACCACTGAGCCAACTCTCCACCCCCAAGGTATGGAGTTTTATCAAACATAGCATGAAAGGTTTCCTGCATACAACTTAAATAATTTTTAACCTGAGTTAGATTCCTGGGGCCACGGTCAAAGGAGAGGACAGACTCCTTCAAGCTGTCCTCTGACCTGTACTCATATGTCATAGCATATGCGCCCTTCCCCACAATAAATAAAATGTAAATATTCATCAAGTCTGTCGTGTAGTTATTGAAGGGGGGCTCACAGGATTAAGGAAGCTGTTGAAACGTCAACGTTCAGGAGATTCAAGAAACTTTCTGAGGGCACCAACAAGATGGTTCGTTGGGTAAGAGCCACCAAATGCCACAATCGGAGTTCTACGCCCAAAATCTATTCAGTAGAAAAGGGACGACAGGCAAAGGTTCTCCTCTGATCTCAGCAAACGATGACAAAAATGAATAAACTCAATTTAAAAACTCAGTAATAAAATCAGTTTAAAAAGAAAAACTCTGAGGTATGAAAAACTCAGCAAGTTCCAAGATTCACCGGTCCTCCTCCCAGTTTAATCAGTAAACACAAAGCAGCCTCAGGCCGGGGAGGGTGCTCCGGGCAGGCAGCTGTCAGGAGCCGACGGGTTGGGCTCGCAGCTCACCGGGGCGCGGGCTCCGGTGATGGAATCTGTCTTTGGTCTGTGATGGGTGCCCCACCCGGAACGCACAGGCGTTCGCTCCTCTCCCAAGCGTTGAGTCCCCACGGGAGGTCGCCACGTCCCGCCCCGCTAACTCGGACACACGGCCCCGGGCTCGGACGAACGGACTGGACGCCGCCGCCCCGGAAGCCGACTGCCCCGGAGACTCCTCCTCCGGCCCGGGTGAGGTCACAGCTCCCCGTCCTCCACCAGCTCCAGGGAGGGTCCCCAAAGGAGACCCGACGGCGCATGCTCCCGCGCCGGACCCAGCAAGCCGGGCGAGCCTGCGCGTGCGCGGCGTCCGCAGAGCCGGGCGAGCGAGTCGTGAGAGATGGGAGGCGACCGGGGAGCCGAGCCAGCGTCCGCCCGGGCCAACCGGGCCGCCCGGGCCTCACGTCTGACACGAAGAGCGTGCGACGACGCCGGCCGAAGAGCCCCGGCGCCCCAGCCAATCAACGCCTCGCCCCGCCTGGCCACGCCCCCCGCGCCCTCACACGTAAAGTTGAGCCCGCGGGACCCGGCGAGCCGGCTGCTGGCTTCTAATTGGCTGGGGCGAGCGGTGGCCGGAGCCGGCGGAGGTGGTGTGCTCGCACTCGGTGGCGGTCAGGAGCCGGCGGGACTGCAAGGGACACCGCGTCTCTGTGAGTGAGCCGGGCCGGGAGGACGGAGGGCGGAGGGTGCTCGGGAGGGCCGGGGGCTGTAAGCTGTGGGGCGCGGGGACGGCGGGGAGCGGCGGGGGGACCCGGGTCCCTGTCGCCCGGGGATGTGGGGATCAAGGCCCGAGCTTTGGAGCGGATCGCGGCCGAGAGAACCATCTGAGACGGGGACTGGGCTGGTGCCAGCTTCGGGGATCCCAGGATCAGCGACGGGCGAGGAGGGAGCAGCGCGAACGAACCGGCCTCGGAGGCGGGCCAAGGTCACGAGCAGAGTGGGACGCGAGGGCACCTCGGCCTGGCCTTCCCGGTGCGTCACCCGGGGTTAGCGCCGACCTTAGGTGATCCTGTGTCACCTAGGAAGAAGGCTGTGGCGGAATACGAATGCCCCTGACCAGGGGACGTGGCGTTGAGATCACAGACGCTCGGCTGGATTTGCCAGCAGCCCGGGTGGTTCAACAGTGTTGCCCGATTTCCTCGCTTATTCCCGGGATGGAGAGCAGCCCCCTCCCTGAGGTTGTGATCCCCACCCAGGGGATCTGCTTCCGGAAGTACCTAGGCACCCTGCCGCTTGACAGTTTGGATGCAAATTCTGACGGGTTCTAGTGGTTCTCGGTGCCCACGGAGTGTGCTAGGGGATCCTCTTTTCGTCTTCTCTACAGCAGTGTTGCTTGAAAGGGCTCCTTAAAACATAAATCTGTGTCCTGCCCCTGGTCAGTTTGAATCAGCATCTCCAGGCTGGCGCCTTGGCAGCCATTTTACACAAGCTGACAGGTGACTGATGCAAAATCAGAATTTGAAACCATTGTTTTAGATGATAGTTCTTGGGATCAAAGGGACAGGCTGGGAAGGGTCTCTCTGTTGCATCACCTGACGCCCAGCCATTTTACCTCTTCTAGGTTGCCTTGCCTTTCGAACAGGCTGTCAGTGATCATACCTGACCTTACAGAATAATGGGTTTGAATATCTGGTTATTGGTGATGTAAAAATAAAAATAATGTTCTGCTTACCGACAGATATAGGTCAGTCTCTGGGTGAGGGAGATAATAAAAGAAAGTCTAGTGAGGGGGGAAAAGTCTCTCCAAAATTGGAATTGTTAAATAATTTAAGTCACTGAAGAAAGATTCCCTTTCACTTTAGGTATGACTTACACAGTGTTTACACTTCACAGACCATATTGGGGCTCTGTTAGGAATGGACTTTTGTATTTCCAGTTCAAATTTGCGCCTGTAACATGAGTGTTGGTTTAGCCAGAAATATATTGTCAACCGTGGGCTGCGTGGGGAGAGCCTTTCCAGAGGTGAACTCCTAGTGTGGACCAACTCACATGGCCCTCCAAACCTGGCTCTGCCACCGTGACAGGAGCATATGGAGCACCATTGGACTCATTTCCTACCCAGGGTGTGATTTGAGCATACTGACCCTGGAACTTTAAAGGCTATCCTTTCCTCTTCATTTACGTGGTGGTAGTTCATGAATACTTGGGAAATCTCCAGGTGATAAGGTAATTATCAGAATTACATATTCAAAAAACATTTTCTATGTAGACCGATTACATTAAAGTTACATCATTTTTAAGATGATATGAAGGTCTAATTTGAATTTACATTTCTGGTATGCATTGGACTTTAAGTGCTCCTATTTCATCTAATTGTGTCCTAAAATGTGCTCATGGTATTCCTGAATCCAAAAATGTCATTAGTTGTTTCTTCTTTCTTCTTTCTTTTTTTAGCCAGGGTTTTGCTGTATAGCCCAGGGAAGCTTCAAACTTGAGATCTCCTGCCTTCTTAGTCTGAGGCCGAGATTACAGCCAAGTGCCACCACACACAACTGTTGAGTTACTTCATTTTTGTGTGGCCCCTCCTGGTAGCCAAACACATATATAATTGGTGCAGATGCGTACTAATGCATTGGGGCGAATGCCTCTGTCACGTAGGTCACGTAACTACAGTCCCATCAACACGACTTCTTTGAGCTCTAGGCTTATCTTCAGCTTCCTGCCAGGTATCTGTCCAGTCATGCCTGGTGGATGCCGTTTGTAAACTTGATTTCATTATTTTGTTGTCTTCAGACGGCGTGTTGCTACATAGCTTAAGCTAGCTTTGAATTCATATCCTCTTCTGAGTGCTGAGATTATAGGGCGTGCATCACCTCTCCGGCCATCACTGGTCCCCTAAAACAAATAATAGCCACTTGGTGTGCCCCAAGTCTTAACTTCAGAGGCAGCATTCTGGAAGTGAGGTCAAGTGCCCTGCCCATGCTAGCCTGAGAGTCTGTAGGGAAATAATCGCAGGTGATGGAGGGAAAGAACCCGTGCCTGCTGGCTTTTCTGTACAGAAAAGAGCCAGTTGTCTCTCTCCCTCGTGAAAGGAGAGCCTGTTGCTCCGTGAACCCACTGGGCAGTTACCCTCATCCTCATAGGAAATGGGGGAAGATACCACTGTGGTTTGTTTCCTTATTTATGATTGGTTGGTTGGTTGGTTGACTGTGCTAGGGATCTGGCCCTTGGCTTCAAGCGTGCCAACAGGTGATCCATCACACACCGCTTCTGGAGATAACCTCACATGTTGAGTGCAGGAGGCTAAAGGGCACAGGGAGGTTTGTTTTGTTTTTGTATTTTTGAGATAGGGTCTGTTATGTAGCTCTGGCTGTCCTGGAACACGAAGAGACCCACCTGCCCCTGCCTCTTGAGTGCCGTTCAGCGTTCATATAGGTGGCTCTCAGGGGCGATCTGCAGTCCTGGATGCAGTGTGTCGTCCCTCCATAGAGCCCATTCATGCAGTTCTTGCGGTCCTAGGTGTTTATGAAACCTCTCAAATCTGTTCTAGCTAAGATAGTTTCCTGTAGTTCAATATGGATTATGTTGTTGGCAATTAAGTACATTCTGTCCATTCCTTTTTAAAAAATAATCTGCTTTTCGAACCACCGGTTATTTCAGTGCTCGCTTTTGGGTTTCTGTGTATGTTCTTCTTCGAGTCAGGATACCTTCTGTAGCCTGTTTGGAGGCTTTGATTTCTTTGAGATGAGAGCGTATCATCTCGTTGTAGCCCAGGCTGGCCTGGAACTCCAGATCCTTCCCCTTCCGACTGTTGGTGTTACAGCTGGGTGCCACCACACCTAGTCAGTATTTGTTTTATTTTTGTAAATATAGTGAGTGTCCTGAACCTTGAGCTTACTGAACCTTGTATATACAAAAGCTTAGTAAGATTTATTGCGTTAGGAAGTAATGGAGTACAAAAAGAAAAAAAAAAGACAGTTCTCTTCTGAATGTTGTGTGTAGCTAGCTCGTTTTTGTCTCTGTTGGATGGCAGTATTGTCTCTGTAGGAAGGTAGAGCTCGCTTTCAAAACAGACATTCCTGCTTTAGAGCTGGATTTTCTTTGAGGCTTTGCTACCATTTAACCCCCAGGAAGAGCAATCTGTTGCCCTTGGTCCTGAAGGGAATGAGCTGCCCGTGGAGAGTCCAGGATTGCAATGGGCAGCAATTGGTGCCAGTGGGAGGTCTGTGTACTGGGAGCCGTGTTTGCCTCCTCTGTTGAACCCGTGGGTCAGGATAACAGGCAGGCAACTTAGAATTGAAGATGGGATGGATCAGTCACCTCACCGTGATGAAATGTCCATGAACTCTGTGTGAGGGATGATTGTAGGGAGGGGGCCTTTGCCCCTGTGATGGTGGAAATGAGTTATTTTTTGTTATCTTTTGTTACATTTTGTTATTTTTGTCCTGCTCCTGTATTCACCTAACTGCTAAGCTCATCTTGGCCCTCTCTGGGAGCCACGGAAAGCAGTGTTGTAACAGGAAGATAGACTAGTAAAGAGGAAGGCTGGGGGGCACTGGGAAGGTGTGGGAAAGAAGGCCGATCAGCTGCCTGCTGGATGTCCATCAAGGAGGTGCACACACTCACAGACACACACCTGCACAAATGTTTTAAAAGAGTATTGCAGCTTTTCCCAGTGTTGTAAACAGTGTGACGGGTGATAAAGGTGCACATTCTCTACAGTGGTGAAAGTTTAAGGCTAGATCCAGGTTCACAGCAGATGCTGCGGAGACAGCGGAGTGGTTCCAGGTGGTGTGCTAGCTGCTTTTAATTGAGAACTTCGAACAATTCTCTTTCAGGAAGACTCTGGAAAAAATCACGATGTCGACCAACACGGACCTTTCCCTTTCTTCGTACGACGAAAGTCAGGGGTCTAAGTTTATTCGGAAAGCTAAAGAGACACCGTTTGTCCCCATTGGTAAGTGACTGGCACTGATGATCAGTCTGCCGTGAGCCTAAAACAATGGAACTGTGGTAAATTTGAATACTGAGTGGATCCCGAAATACCTTTTTCTTATTTTGTTAAAGTGTGATAAGGCCAGCATCCTAAGAGCTCATCCCAAAAGCTGTGGGCTCGGGTTTGTGTGATTGACTGTTGTCTCAGTGACTCCTGCTGGTCGGATCCCAGGACCACCTCTGACTCCGAGGTTTTCCAGGGCTCAAAACAAAAGTACCGTAATCGTGTTAAGGTTCCCGACACTGGAAGGGCAGAGGTGAAAGTCAACAAAGATGCCTGCCATGAAGTCCAGGGCAAACCAAGTGTACGCTACGGTGTCTCCTCCTCGAGGACACTGCATCCTTCCAGGGCTGTGTGGCGGCATGGGCAAAGCTGCCGCACGCTGGCATTTAGGTTGTTCTGAGGTCAGTCACAGGCATGCCTTGTCCATGAAGGCCTTGCAACTCATGAAACAGCAATGCAATCACCAATGGAAATTCTAAAATCAGAAAATTGAAATAATTTATTCACTTAAAGCAGATACAAATTATATTTTTTATTCAAACACTAGACACGTTCCCTTTAAATGGAATGGGTCGGGGATCCTGGAGACTGCTGTTGTTGCCTGGAGATCTGGACACTTTGCGTAGGGCAGGAAAGAAGCTGTGTGCATACTTCAGGAAGAAACCCTATCGGTCTGTGGGTGATATAATTATCTGCATAGGGAATACAAGAACATGAAATGAGAAACAGCTGGACCAGATAGAAAAAATTACTGTCCTAGTTATGTGGCCGTTGCTATGGTAAAATCCATTGCCAAGAGCATCACAAGGAAAAAAGGAAAGGTTATTTGTCTTAAACTGCCAGATGGCAGTCCATCACCGAGGGGAGTCGGGGCAGGAACCAGAAGCAGAAACTAGGAGGGATACTGCTTGCTGGCTCACTCCCAGGCTCCGGTCCAACCACCTGCTTTATCTAGCCTGGGACCACCCACAGGGGACTGGGCCTTCCCACTGTCAATCAAAATAGTATCTCACAGGCATGACCACAGGTCACTCTGATCTGGGCAGTACCTCAATTCAGACTTGCGACCCCTTCCGGGGTCACCTAAGACCATGGGAAAACACAGATATTTACTTTACAGTTCATAACTAGCAAAATTACAGTTAGGAAGTAGCAATGGAAATAATTTTATGGTTGGGGTCACCACAACATTGGGAACTGTATCAAAGGGTTGCTGCATGGAGGGGAGGTCAGAACCACCGCTCTGGAAGGAACGTTCATGATAAAGCCGAGTGGGCGGTTACTTCATTGGTCCATCATTAGACATCTGGGGGACCCCAGGAATGTCTAAGGTATCGGTAAGGACACCACTGCCTGCAGATGGTAGGTGCCCCGCCCTGAACTTCCATTTGTGGATCTCACAAATCATCTACTCTGAGGAGTATGCTGTTGTCTTTTGTTTTTTCCTTTCCAGTGCGAACACAGTTATTTCCCAGTTTCTTTCTGTTTTATCATCAAGCCCAGTCACCAGTAACCTCCGTAGTGTGCATGTGTTTGTTGCCCACTCTGTATGGATGGCTGAGATCCAGTTTTAGGTTATGCAGTCTAAGAGGGAGCCATTTTGAAATTCAGTTTTCTTTGTGGCCTAATGCATGATTGTGTTTTGTCAGAACTCCCAAACATTTGAGAAAATGTATAGTCTATTTTAAATGAACATTTTATTTCTTTATTATTGTCTGTGTAGATATGTGCCACAGTGCTCAAGTATGGGTCAGAAAACAACTTTCGGGGGTCTGTTCTCTCTTTCCACCCCACTGAGGCAGTTCTCTTGTTTTCTTTGTACTACATACTCCAGGCCAGCTGGCCCATAACCTCCTGTGTGGCCCTGTCCCCACCTCACATCTGTCCATAGGAGCGCTGCTATAACTACAGATGTCCATCGAAATATCTGACTTTAAAAAAACAAACAAACAAAAAAATACTTGGATTCCAGGGATTGTTCTTGTCTTCCTCCTTCGCGGCAGACGCTGAGACATCTCGCTGCCCTTCTGTTGGTCTTAAATCTGTCTACTTGGTCCATAAACCCACAGGTTTTCAGAAGTGGCTCAGAACCCAGCACTTGGAATATAGGGACAGGAGGCTTGGATTCATGGTCATTTTCTGTTCAGAGCAAATTCAAGGCCAGCCAGGGCTACACAGTGAGATATTATTTCGGAAAAACGAAAGACCCAAGAAGATCCTATCTAGATTTGCTGCTGTTTGCTATGAATTCTAGATTTGTGCGTGTGAAGCAAAAAAGATCGAAAGCTTTGTATGTTAATTAATGAACTGATAAAGTATTCTTACAAAAGTAGCAGAGAGTACATTGATCAATGGTGAAATCGTCCCGCTGCCATGCCGCTAACGTGAGTGTGACTTTGTTCTGCAGGAATGGCAGGCTTTGCAGCAATTGTTGCATACGGGCTGTACAAACTGAAGAACAGGGGAAATACAAAGATGTCCATCCACCTGATCCACATGCGTGTGGCTGCCCAGGGCTTTGTTGTTGGAGCCATGACTCTCGGTAGGTCCAGCAGGACTTCCGATTTGTGCCTCTCTTTGATGCTTTTCTTTACAAAGCAAAGTAAACCCTTTCCCTGACCCTGAAGCAGTCTGAAAATGCCTGCTACTCGTTTTCCCATAGCGGAATAATTGGAGCAGCGGTACAGTTTTACCTGCTGAGGTAAACCCTTGTTACTTCATCGCTGTCTGAATACAGGTTGGCAGTGACAGTGTCCTGAGGAGAATGTGATTGCTGTTGTGAGTTTTGGAAAGTAGAAAAGATTCTAAGACGTATGGGCTTTTACTGGAATCGTGACTTACTGACTTATCTGCTACTATGTGGTGGCTGTTTTAAAATCGCCAGGCAAGCCGGTCAGTGGTGGCGCACGCCTTTAATCCCAGCACTCAGGGAGGCAGAGGCAGGCGGATCTCTGTGAGTTTGAGGCCAGCCTGGTCTACAGTGTGAGTTCCAAGACAGCCAGAGCTACACAGAGAAACCTTGTATCTAAAAACCAAAAAAGGCAAAACAAACAGAATGCCAGGCAAACATTGTCTGTTGATCAGAGCCCTGGAACACAGTAAGCTGCTCACACTGGCCCTACCCAGCCTAGGAAGTTACAGAGTTTTAGGGTTAAATGCAAGGAGGCCGGAGTGTGTGCCTCTGGTGTCCACCTCTTGACGGGCTGTCACATGTCGCTGTCCTGTGGACTGTTGTGTGTCTTCTCAATGCTGAAGGAGATGTATTGATGCTTCTCTTCCTTTTCTGCAGGCATGGGCTATTCCATGTATAAGGAATTCTGGGCCAAGCCTAAGCCGTAGAAGACGAGCTGCCGCCTTGGACTGGGAAGTGCTTGCTTTACTTAGATGTCTCATATTGAGGTTATATGTTTGTGTCACAATAAATAACGTGGGTTTAGACAATGATACAGTATTGAATTTTGGCTTACTTCCTGGCCAGCCCAGTGTACCTGTGGCCAGATTGTCAGTGACCTCACCAACTAGATCACTTGGGGGAGTCAGTTAACACAACAGAAACCTGTCGCCTGAATGCAGTTGGTAACAGTGTTCTCTTAGGGGGACAGCGGATAGTCAGATACACAGTGTGCCTCAGAGCAGGCCTTGCTTTGGACGATGTCAGGAGGAAGCATGTCTGCCCCAGTTCATTCAACCTTTTTGTCTGCCTGTGGGCTGGCTTTAGAGCTTAGGGTTTTAAGGTTTGTTGGCGTCTGAAAACACTTTCCAAAGAGTGCATGAAAAATAACTAAAATTATAGAGCCCCCTACAACTGAGTGAGGGTCGGGAGGGGTGTGTGTGTGTGTGTGTGTGTGTGTGTGTGTGTGTATACAGAGAAGCGGTGTTTACTAGAATCATACTTACAAACACAGTTAATTGGGGTTCCACTTTAGCTGTGTGTGTGTGTGTGTGTGTGTGTGTGTGTGTGTGTGTGTGTACAGAGAAGCGGTGTTTATTAGAATCATACTTACAAACACAGTTAATTGGGGGTTCCACTTTAGCTCTTTTATACTTGCAAAGTTATATTTTTGCCGCTCTGTAATAGAATAGTGCTTAAGTGTCATATTGAAACAGGTATTTTTGTTTCTTTTTTGTGGCGCTGGGCATTAAATGCAGCCCTCACTTGGGCTGGGCAATTGCTGGTACCAGTGAGCTGCATCCCAGTAGAAATAGGGACTGAAAGTGATAATACTTACACAAATGATACAGGAAACACACAGCTTCCTGTGGACAGTGTCCTGCTTTCCTGTAAGAATCATACATATTAAAGTACTGAAAGTGAGAAGAGAGTGGTGGGTGGGTGGTTTTCCAGACACCACACACAGATGGAACATACAGAATGCTTAGTGCACTGTAACCCCGTCCAGCCTGAACCTTCATTCCACAGCGACAGCGTGTATTGTTATTAAAAGAAGTGAACACACCAGGAGTCTTGTATTTATTTCATCATAGAGAAAAGTGACTCTTCCCTTGGAGCAGCACAGAAATCAGAAGACGGAATCTTTGTACGTGTGGTGGGAGACAGTTATAACTAACGCCATCCTCATCTTCAGCTCGGAGCATTGTTTGGCATCTGTTGGGCACCTACTGCATGCCCCACACTGCCCTGAGAAATGTTTCTTTTAGCTGTGCATAGATGTGGATATGTACGCGGGTGTGTGCATATGACTGCAGGTACCCTCCAGGCTGGAGGCCCTGAGTATCCCTGGGCCCAGAATTACAGGCAGATGTGCTGGGAACTGAATTGGGGTTCTCTGCAAGTGCAGGTCTTGGTCTAAGCATTGAGCCATCTCCAGCCTGCTCCCTTTTCTCACATTTGTGTGTGTGTGTGTGTGCATGTGTGCAGCAGTCACAGGACAATCCGAGGAATCAGTTCTCTCCTGCGTGTGGACAGGTTCACAGTTTTGGTAGCGAGCACCTTTACCTGCTGAGCCCTCTTGCTGGCCCCTTAAGAACTTAAACATGCAGTTGTTAAATTCAGACAGGCCTGGGAGGCGGGCAGTTAGCAGCCTGCTTTCCTCCTGTTGTGTTGCCTGTAGGACTGACCATGGAGCTCGCTTTATATTGTTGTAGTTTAGAGTAGATGGGATGCCCTTTAGAAGAGTCCAGGGAAGGTTAATAGCACCACAGATGCCGACAAACGTAAGAACCTGCCATGTGGCCTCAGGTCGAGTGGCAGCAGTGACCGTATTTGATAGGACAGGCTGCACCTGATCAGTCCTGATCAGGGCCTGTATGATTGACGTGAGAGCAGGGACTAGCCACGTCTCCGTGGTCCTGTTCAGCTGTGGCTAGAACACGCCTGAGAAAGTTCTCTGTCTTGGCTTCCTGCTTTAGCGGTGTTCTGCATTGTGAGAATTTGTTATTGAGTAACACCTGGACTCATTCTGCCACTCTGAGCCAAGTAGTTGTGTCTTCCTCATCCAAAGTGCGGACACAGTCTAGAATTAGAGAAAATAGGAAGTCACAGGGGCTTAGCCTAGCACGTCATGCTTTAGCGACTCGGTAAGTGGCTGCTGTTACTGTGATTGTAGTGAGTGTAGGGTTTAAAGATCACAGCAGAACATGGCTGCCAGTAGAGGAAGCAGCTGGAGCGTCTGGCTGGCCGGAGCCTGGGGCTGGGACTGGAAGTCTCCGCAGAGAAGCAGCATTCTACTTTGGTTCTCCGTAGGGAGAGCTCTCCTGTTGTTGGGTTTTAGTGGAGTGTGGTGTGATTGTTTCAAGCCTTTCTTCCCAGTTACCTATCTGAGCACAATGGTCTTTTTCACCCAAGGAGCTTGGCTCAGTTAATGCTTGCTGAATTCATCAGAGTAAATCTTGGGGGTTTTGCATTTGTCGAGGTTCAGTAGGTCCTCTGTCCGTGATTTTCCATGTCCAAGGATTCCTCCAACCACAGATGTGAAAATCGTGTGTGTGTCAGTACTGAGCGTTTGTGGCTTTCCTTTTCCTGTGGGGTTTTTACAGGTGTGGTGTAACATCGGTTACACAGCATTTTATTGCATTAGACTGTGCGGAACGTGGAGAAACTTGAAGAACAGGGAGGATGTGCACAGCTCATGAACAAACACCCCCCCCACCCCCCGCCGCCACTGTTTTGTTTAAGAGACCTGAGCTCTTGTCTGCAGGTTTGGCTGCTCACTGGGGGGTTCTGGAACCCCCCTGCCACTGCTGGGTATGCCGAGTCTGAGCAACAGCGACATCTGGTGGCGAGAATTGGACCTGACCACAGTGGTCGTGGAAACCACGTCTGTAGATGAGTCCCTGGGTTTCACAGTTACGGTTCTGTCCCTAGGAAAATCTGCAGCCCACTCCTTCATGGCTGCAAGGCCAAATCAAAGCCAAAGGATCATGAAGTTAAAGGTGCCGTGTACCAAGCAGTAGAATTGAGGGAACGATGTTCTCCGATCTAACAGCCCTTTGGGTTTGGGAGAAAAGAGCGAGCCCAGGCCATAAGATAGAGTACCACGTGACCAGTGAACCTGAGTTAAATTTAGGAAGAACCAGCACTGCGCATGTGCCTGAGTCTCGGGCTTAAGGAGGCTGCTTAGCTTTCCCCTCAGCCGCCTGCAAGGGGCAGAGACGAAAGGGGGAAGCTATCTGTAAGTGGGTCAAGCTGAAGCCTTTGTCAGTCTCTAGTATTCTGGACTGTTTCCAGCGTAACTGGGTGACTAAAAGTTCATCCTCAGCAGAGGCTGCTGTCTGCCTTGCCGGTGGCCCTCCTCAGGTTTGCGTTTCGGTCCGCTAAACCTCCACTTTCCACCATCTCCCCGGCTCTGAGCCTTCCTCCTATTCTCCAGTGGGCCAGTCAGCTTGTCCCACATCTGCCCCCTTTGTGCTAGTGAAGATTTGTCTCAGCCTCTCTAAGGAGGAAGAGATCCGCATACAAACTGTGATCACTGTGGGAATATCAGTCAGATGCTAGGAAGTGTAGAAGGCGCCAGGCCCAGGCAGCAGGACAGACTGCTGATTTCCGAGATCAGGTGGCCTCCCTGTGTGGCTGGGATATGGCTCAATGATGAAGTATTTGAGGCCCTCGGTTCAGTGTCCAGCACAAAAGAGAGAGGAAGGGAAGAAAGCTAAATAAAAACATTAATCAACAACAGAAGTCTATGACAGCTGAGAACACAATGGAGAAATTTGGGAAGAAAATCACAGTGTCGTCCCAGTTCAGTCCACTGTGCTAACGGCCTGGTGCAGGACCAATCGATCTCACCCATCTGGGAGGTCACCCGGAACCAGAGGTCCCTAGGGGTTGTCAGGACACTTGAGTTTTCTGACAGAGTCAACCTATGATGGCTGACGTCTCCATAGACATGAGCTCCGCTGGTAGACTCAGACTTGCCTGGAAATGATGAACCACTGATGACCAGGGTCTAGAGGAAGCTGAGGCCAGCAAAACCCCGGTCCATCACAGGTTGACGAGACAGATTTTCATCAAAACAAGGCTTGAGTCTGAAGAAACTGAACTTTTCATCCTTTGGGGCTCCTGAGTAAGAAACTGAATAATCAGGAAGGCTTTAAACCTTTGCTGGAAAATGCTGTTTGTCTCTGTCTGCTCTGGATCTGTGCTCACAACACTGTTTGGTGGCTCTTGGGGCCGCATTAGGGGCTGCACCTGGGAAAAGAGCTCTGGATATGGGTCCCAGCACCCAGACACAGGCTTTTGCTCAGTGTCCTGTTTACATGGTGCTACTCAGACTCCGGGGGTACTCGGCGCAGAGCACCCAGACCCTGGGGGTACTCGGCATGGAGTACCCAGACCCTGGACCCCCAAAGCTGAGGTGGAGCTGAATGCCTTGATTTTAAGTTGCAGTAAAACTCCTGTTACGAATCAGGACAGCTGGGTATGCGGTAGTGTAGACAGTGGGTACGTCACACATTACAAAGCTCTTCCTCGGCCGGTTTGAGTCTCGGAGCTGTGGTAATACTGCTGTTTACGAAGAAGGAGGAAACTGGAGCAGTGGCTTGGTGGTTAAGAGCGATGGCTGCTCTTCCAGAGGACCCGGGTTCAATTCCCAGCACCTATACGGCAGCTCACAACCATCTGTGATTCCGTTCCAAGGGATCCAAGGACCTCTTCTGCCTTCTCGGCATCAGGCAAACACTTGTCACATAAAATAACTTAATTTGAAAAATAAAATGAAGTTTGTGACTTGGCTCGTGTTGCCTTTCTGCTCAGTTTAGCTTCTCATTGAGCAGAAGACTTCATGCTTGTTATTTGTAGGCGGAAAATGATCTCAGCGAGGGAAGCCTACTTGATGACCCTCGTGTCTTCAGGAAGATACATGGGCTGGGTTGACAGCTCTCTGGGTAAAGTGCTTGCCTTGCAAACCTGAGGACCTCAGTTTGATTCCATGACCCGTGTATAAAAGGCAAGTGTGGTGGTGCTTAGGCTCGTAACCCCGGGGCTG